ATTTCTGTCTGCAAGGGGCCTGGAAATGATTTTTCATTTGGCTGCTGCCATGAGGCATTTGTTTGTGGCCCACCCCTGGGTCTGAGCACCTGTAGCTCTCAAGATAAGTCACGATACAAGCACTGATCAAAGCAGAGCGCTGTGGTTGCTTTGCCTGGCTTGGTGGGAGTTTAGTAGCCCCTGGTTGGGTTTTTTCCTGATAATTTAATAACACTATTTTCATAGCTCTTTCTCTCTGCATGCTGAAATAGACTCTCCATACAGATTCCTCATGCAAGCAAAATCAGGGCTGCCCAAAACGCTGCACCAAAAGCAAAACAGAGCCCTGCAAGCTAACTCAGCTCTATTTTTTTCTTCTTTTTTTTCCTGGCTGAAAGAAACAAATTTCCTCATATAATTCTTGATGTTCTAGTATTTTTTTTGCCATATACTCCGGGTTTGCAGCCAACATATGTACTTAAATAAATATTCTCAATGCCAGATGTCAGCACATGCTGGGTAAGCGCTCCATAATCATCAAACCAAGAGCTTCGGTCTATCCCAGCGGAAAGTGGTGAGATAAAGGAGACTCCTGCAAACARAACTGCAGTGAAGGGGTTCCTCCAGGGAAAGGCAGAGGATATGAGAGTTAATCAAATTTATCTTAAGTATAAAGGAAGTGTATTTTGTATTTTCAGTGCGCCCTGACCTTTTCAATTGCTCATTACACGGGTTTTGCTCGTCCACTGGGTGTCTCAGTGCTGGCTCCCAGCTCGGGAAGCTTTGGCTGTGTGGGAGCTCACCCTGCTCACACAGAGAACATCATTCTTCCAACAATAGCTCTCTGCAATTTATTGACTACTGCTGGAACAAAATAAACATTAGAATTGAGAGAAAAACACCAAGAGATGAGATGGAATCGYGTGCTGTGCTTTTCATCTCTGGGTTACCCTGCAGTGGTTCTGCCATCAGTAAATACACTCAGGTGTCTTTAGGTCAAGTGTGCCTTAGGCTTTTTACTGCTACRATTAAAAATCAAAACAACAGTGACYTSATGTTRAAAGTSATTTGATRAAGCAGTTTTCCTTCTCTTTAACTGTTGCTTGATGTGYCAGAGGATTTGAAAAAGACCTTAATTCAGACTTKTTTGCTTTTCWCTTRTTTCCTCTCCATTACTCCAGTTCTTTTGCTACACTTAAATCTTCAGCTGCTGTTCAGAGCAGCCCTGTCCAGCTCATCTCCACCTTTTTAAGACACTTCTTAAAAAAAAAAATCAGTAGGAGGGCGCCACTACCTGTTGTAACCCTGGTGCTTGCACAGAGCTCCCTTCCTGCAGCAAAGCCAGTAGTTTACAATAAAAAACAAAACAAAAAAATCCGCTCACGTAAAGGCATCCATCTGCATGGATGAAGATCTGGGTAATTATTTACCTTTGAGAACAGGTGATGCAGCATAGCCACAGTTGTGTAACAGCATTTGTCACTGCAGTGCAGCATTTCCTGTAGCTGTTATCACAGAAGGGCAGCCTGCTGAAGAACCAAGCCCTGTGTTTCACCTCAGAGCATTCTGAGTTTTGTTGAAGTGGGAGGGAAAGAATCTGGACATGGATTCAAGTKCTGGGTCTTGAATGACGTTGGCTTTTTCTGTAACTTTACTCCAGATATATTGCTAATATTAGGAGTGTCCAAGTTCACAGCCTCTYTCCATCCTTTCTCATTTCAAACTTGCTTAGCAAGGCTTGGAAACAGAGAAGATGATATCCTCCTTGGGTCAGTAAAGGCCCTGGCTGCTTTAGAACAATTGCAGCATTCTTCTCTCCCTCTTCTTTTCCTAGGACTTATTTTTGGCTCAACCACTTCCTTCTGCTTTTCTGCTGTTTAGAAAGAAAATGGCTTGGCTTTAGAACCTGCAMGTTCCATCAAAGTAGTGAAATCCACTGCAGAAGCTGTCTGTGAGTGGGCAGAACAAAACTCCTTAAGCTTATGTATTCTCCAAAATAGCAGCACATTTAAATTGTTCTTCTCTTTTCATTCCAGAACACTCCACAAGATTCAGAACTAGGCCARCCTCCTGGTAATGGCCACAATTTGAAATGGAGCCCTCAGGAAAACAGCCTAGAAAAGCCTGGAGGTCAGGACATCTCAGACCCTCTTCCTGCTGCTGTGCCAGGGGCTGAGAGTTTATCCCCACCAGCCCCAGGACGTGCAAGGTAAGACAGGAAGGTTCCTCCTGGGAATAGTACTGGAGCCCTCTAACTGATTTTTCAAGTTCTGTCATCCTGATGGATGATGATGATGATGATGATGATGATGATGATGATGATGATGATGATGATGGTGCAATCGTCAGAATAACCCGATACCACAAGAACTACTCACTGTTCACCAGACTGACTTTCTCGCCTTGCTCTGTAACTATAATCCTAGCTCCAGCTGTTGTAGTAACCCCTGACCTAAACTTTCCGTGCTTTTTGCTTCTACTAATAAAATCTCATCTGAGACAGAGCAACATTGAAAATGTTTGTTTCAACTTTTGGTCAGCCCTGAAGTGCTCAGGCAGCTGGATCATAGCAGCTCCCTTCCAATGTTCTGTTCTATTCTATTCTATTCTATTCTATTCTATTCTATTCTATTCTATTCTATTCTATTCTATTCTATTCTATTCTATTCCATTCCATTCCAGTCTAGTGTATTTTAAAATTACTGATATTATGCAGCAGTTTGTGGCAGTTTAAGTCCTAGTTTAGGTATTAAATAAGATCATAATTGACCACACTGAGGGCATTTCCTGGAAATTCAGGCACGTGTCATAATCTAAAAGGATTTCTGAAAAAAGAGCAGTTTATTTTCTGGAAGGGACAGTTTGGCTGTGCTGTGGAGCTCTTACACTTCAGGAGGCTGTACTTCARTACTCACACAGGGAGGTATTTACTATTAATTCAATTTCTTCTGATTGCCACTAGGACACCTTAATTATCTACTGAAAATAATAGAGTCTGAGCAAGACTAAGACTGCTAAGTCAATTTACAGTGATAAAGGTATTTAGGAATGAAGTTTAAAGTGATGGAAGGTTGCACTTCTTTCCTTGAGAGGCACAGCTTGTGTAAACCATTATCACTCCACAATTGAACATCAGGTCTATACATGGAACAGCTTTTTATTGGATGAATTTTTCATATCTCTGAGTGTCTTTAATGCCAATCTCAGCAGCTAGGAAAAAAAATCAGATTTTGGAGTAATGATGCCAAATTGGACAGGGTGACATTTTAAGATGTGTGTTTTGTTTGTTTGTTATTTCAGTTAACAAATACCACATGTATCCTCTAGTTTGTAGTTTCTCGTGATGGCATTGTGCACAATCACTATATTGTCTGTGTGTAACCACATTGTCCTAATGAAGAAAACAAAATTTTTTTTATAAAGTCGTAAGCTACTTTAAAATAATTATGCATTCATTTGTGACAGCAAACCAGTAATTTTCTGCTATTCTTAGCAGTATGCAGGTTCTATTATGGGAAGGGGGAAGGAGGAAATGATGAGTATTGCTATGTGCTAATATTCATGGTAGATCTGTCAYGACTGACAATCCTGCAAACTGGAGATGTTTGTGGAATTCACAATAACAGCAGCATTTGCACCAGCATCCACCTGGTGCAGTGGAAACTCTTACCTTGGGCTTGGAATATTTGTGGTTTGCCTGCAGCAAGTGTAGTCTTGCTTTTCTTTTTTTTTTTTAACCATTAGCATAGTAACTTTATCCCATTCTGTAACTAATTTGCCTCTTAAAAAAATGCATTGTTCAAAAACAGCATAGCAAGAGTTCTTTGGGGGCTCCTTTTCAAAATGTGAGCACCTAGAGCACTTAGATTTATATTCAAGCTGGCTGGAACAGCTTTGCACAGCAGCATGCAAAATTCTGACTCGTGGGAGATGAATGTTGCACGGATGAGTCAGCTTGAAAGGATTCATAGGATTCTTGTTTCAGGAAACTTATTAGATGGGCGGGAGCTCAGAAATTCCTTGTTATTCAGCCTTGCTCCTGAAGTTGCTGGCACATGCCTGGTTTGGGTGTCTTGTAAGCTCCATCCTGCCAAAATAGAAACAAAGACAATAAACGGAAAATCTTTGAAGTTCCACATTCCAGCTGTTTATTTTTAACTCGCTCCCCTGTGCTGCTTTGAACGCATCTCTTCCACCCCAGAGTGAACTCTGAGAGTTTKAAGAGCGTGTGACCTGCTGTCCTTTTGCGTGGAGGATCTCTGGGTGGAAAATTACCGCCTKTGCTTTTCTTCTGGGTGGCTTTCTCCCACCCCCCCCCAAATTCTCACAAGTTGTTTCGGTCGCTTTTAAATTCTTGCCTTTAGGAATTCAAAACATCTGTGGCTCTAACTTTAGAACAATCTGTTTCAGTGCAGTTTTTTCTTACCTGTTTCTTGTTAGTCCTGTGTGCTGAAAAGTGAGGCCGTCAGTAATTAATTAATCTGTGAACTTTTCACGTGGCATGAAAAAGCCAAAGAGCCAGGAAGCCTCAGGCTTTGCAGTGGTGCTGGTGTGAGGTGTGACCATGGCTTTCTCCTGGTGCACAGCCTGGGGAATCCTTAGCTGGACAGCTCTACCCCAGAGGCCCTTTTTCCAGCAGGCTTAGGAGGAAGCAGACACATCAATTTAAAAGAAAACATTTCAGGGAAATGGATTCTTTGTGGATGACCTTGGCTGCTCTCCCACCAGGAGTGCAGGGCACAGATCCTGTGGGACCCACAGAGACACCGTGGGGTGACAAAGCTGCACAAATCCCTTGGGATAATCCATCAATGCCATGCACCCTGCTGATGCTCCAGATAGCTCAGATGGAGACCAGGAGCCAGTCCTGGAGCTGGAACTGAAGATCTGGCTGTGCTTCCTGCAGCAGTAGCACAGCTCCCCTCTTTAATCTTAGAGTAACTCACTTTGGTCATACTTAAAATACTGCAGGGCCTGCGTTTTGTTCTGTGGATGGAACAAGGAGGTGAAAAGTGCCTGGGGGTGGGGGAGAAGGGGAGGATGGCTCCCAGGAGGATCCTACAGATCATTATTCCTGCTTCACTTTTTCCTGAAAGCTTAGATGCACAGAGGGTGGGGGAGTCTGGCTGCTGTTAGCAGCCCTTCAGCGATGATGGATTTCTCATGTGTTTGCTTGCTCTGAAAAGTTCAAACAGTGACTTGTTCTGTCTCTAAAATTGCGACTTGTTTTGTTTTGTTTTGGAAAGGGAATATGGAAATGAATTCCATGTTCCTCATTAACTTGCAGTACCTCTTAGGGACAGATTAAAATGCAGGATTCCTTAACTCAGTTCCTCCAGCACGCTGTGTCCAAATGTGTGAGCTCAGAATGTACACACTGATCTCTCGTGTGTCAGGGAAAGAGAACAGACCCTTTTGAGAGGCAGCTGCCATGTGCTGTGCTCACTGAGCTCCCTGTGCATCTGCTGCCCTCGGTGCTTTCTGAATTCATCCCCAGATTTCATTTCCCTCGTGGGAATAGAATCACTCAGGCTTGGGGTTACATCAGTGTGGATGGCAGCCCTGTGTGAGCTCTGGGATTCACTGTTCACCAGGGACTGGGTTGGGAGAGCTCCCTGTCCTTGCAGCTGTATGTGTTAGAAGGAAAGCAAAAGGATTAGAAATGGAAATTTTGAATTATCTACACTTTTCTGTCGTGATATCTTCATTTCTTGTTGTTTTTCGAGTACACATCGTATCTTGTCATCTGTAACCCCCTCTCCACACAGGGTCCCACTCAGTAAATGCCAGCAGAGATTTTGTCTGGCTGCTGCTGGTTTTGTCCCCTGGACCTTTGTCTTTGCACAAGGACTAATGGGAGCTGTCATTTCAAGTGTTAATGGCTGACAAATCGGGTATGGCTCTTAATCTGGAAGCTTTTATGGGATGAGAACCAAAAGTCATCCATTTCTTAACATCCTTTATAGCTTCACACCCTCAATACAGACCAGGCAGTGCTCTCCTAATAAACATCTGAGTAACTGGGCAGGACTCTTAAATGGTTCCAGAAAAATTCAGACTTGCCACAAGATCTGATGGTGGTGGAAGAGGTTAACTGCAGGTATTAAAAATTAATTGGTAAATTTGCCATGCACTTCCAAACAAGCAAATTCTCAATAATTATTCATGCAAAACAAGCATTTTAGGCATGTAAAAAATTTACTCGTTGTTATTAGATGCTGTAAGTGGAAGTACAGTATCCATATGTTCGGTCTGTGAGGGCGCTGAAATTGTAAATTCTTTTCAACTTCTAAGATGAGGGAAGAAATCCCTTTAGGAACTCCTGGGTGCAGTTGGTCACAAATATTTCAAGCCACAGATGCACCTAGCTCTTTGCACGACTACATCTTCTTTTTTTTTTTTTTTTTTTTGCAGTTGGTCACAAATATTTCAAGCCACAGATGCACCTAGCTCTTTGCACGACTACATCTTCTTTTTTTTTTTTTTTTTTTAACATCATCAGTCACATGCAGCAATTATTCATAGCAAAATTACTTTTTCTGCCCTAAACCCTGCATGAACTATGAGGAACTCGACTGTTCCTCCGTGCTTTGTCATTTGCATGTTTTGTTTTAAATATGAATRAACTTTCCCTTTAAARACACTGTGATACATCAGATTACCCACAAAAGGAAACATACTTTATTTTCCTSTGTTTAAAAATACCAACTTTTAGGGCCATAGCTTTGATTGTATTAAATGGGTTGTCTGRAAACACATGCTCCCTGCAAGTAATTATTGATTTAATGTAGATGGGGTTTTACTCAGGGGAATTATCTTCAGCATGTGGTGTAATTTCCCAGTAGTGYTATTCCCTTTTAAGAGAGTGGAAGATAATGGGACTAGGTGTGACCTTAAAGGGTCACCCAGTCCATCCTTCTGCCCTAAAGCAGGATCAACTGTGCTTAAGGCATTCCCAACAGATGTTTGTCTAACCCTGGCAATGTCTTGCAGACAGAAAAGCAAGATTGCAAATAATGAAAAGGAAGATGTAGGATATGCTCCCTGTATGGATTTCCTTGTTAGTCCCATCAGAGGGAGAAACATAAATAGAGATATCCAGGCAGGTCAGTCTGGACTTATCCTATTATGATTAAAAATCAAACCTTTCAKTTCTGTGTTGTGTCCTGAATAAAACATTGAGGCAAGCTGCAGCAGCCCCAATAATGAATCTGTGCTACTCCCTCCAAAAGTGATAGTTTAACTCGCTGTCACAGCATGTGCCAGCACTGTCATTTTMATTCTGCTCAGCACACATTCATTACAAACTTGTCCCAATTCCTTCATCTGCTCCTGAGGAAAATGAACAACTTCTCAGCATTACTGAGTACCAGAAAAAATATTGTGATTGATTCATAATGCTGAGCTTGGTTCATAGGATTGTCATCTCCCTTGAACCTGCTAAGTCACGAGTTTATTACTGTGGCTCTTGGTAAAGTTGCTACCAGCAGGGCAGTAGAGAGTTCACGGGTTTAGAAATTGTAGTCAAGAATATTTAACCACTTCAGACATGTCTGGAGCTGTTTCATATTTCATAGCCGCAAACAGAAGTCTAATGTAACAAAGAAGTCGTGTGTAAAAGAGAAAATTCAGTCAGATGAAATSTGAAAAATGCAAATWTATGATGATGGATTTTCTATATAGKGAAYATGACCAACATTTCCATCCCAGATTTATTACTGTGCATTTTCCAGCTCTGTTGACAGATGGGATTAATGATAAGTAAACAATCAGAGAYTAAAGATAAATGATAAGCAGAAATTCTAACTGTAGATTGTGTTTTCTCCTTTTTCCAATGCCCAATTTCACAGAGGTTAGAGGGGCTTCCCCCCCTCAACCTCCACCTGGTTTTGTTCTCCTCCTGATCACGGTATCTCTGACAGGAGAATGCTTCCAGGGTGAAGAACCCTGGGCACAAAACTGCTAATGAGCAATTTAGTCAGTAAGAAGATAGACCTGCAGCACAGCAAAAAGCCAGAATAACAACTGACTCCCACTTCTCCATCCCCTCCTCATCTCAGTTTTGTGGTTTCTGTCCCTCCTCTTCTAATTAAGCTTCCCTGAGTGCAAAATTAATGTCAATAATGAAGTGTATTCCTCTTTAGGGAAAGCCTCGTGGCATTTCCCTGCTGTTTGCTCATGTCCTGTCATGCCCCATGTTGTCAGTGATCCAGCAGACACCAAATACTGTATTGCCATCCCTGGTATTCCCATCTCTGCTATTCCCAGTGTCAGTGAGTTTTATATGGATTAATGTTTTCAGTGTGCTAGGGAAAGAAAAATTCCTCTGGGCAAAAGCATTTTCTGAAACTTTAAATAAAATGTATTGATGTTATAAATTAAATGTTCAAACCCATGCCAAGCATTGCTGAAAATTGTTTATACCTATATAAACTATACATGAATTGTGAGTTGCAGATATTTTACTTTAGATTTGAGGCTYAGCCTTAATATAGGCAAATTTAATTGTAGTTTATTTCCCACTGCAACAACTCTGAAGAAGGTTTTCAGGATCTAAGGCACACTCCTGTTCAGTTTTAGGTGCAGGTGTCCTTAATGAAATTGCTTGTTGGGCACTTCTCAGTATAAGGAGTGTGTTTGGCCCCACCTGGAAGGGCATTTTGTGCACAGTAGCACAGCTCAAGAGGCTGTGTCCATAAAAACACAAACCTCACCCACAGGAACCCCAGAGCTGATCACTGACTCACCTCTCSATCGAGTGTCTTGTGTGTAAAACTTGGGCACAGAAGCAGAGAGAAGCTTCTCAGATTTCTGGAGATTACCTAAAATCCAATCTATGCTTGGCCTTGCAGAAGGTGTTTTAAGCATCTTTTCYAGCTCCAATCTATGGGGGAGTTGGAATTTCTGAAATGTAACCTGTCACTGCTAAGCTGTGGCCGAGCTGCAGTTGTGGGCTCAGCGTGAGCCTCCCCTCCAAGGTGTTATCTGAGTCCTGCTTTGCTTGGGATTCATAATTTCATGTTAAATAAACACTGCCCCTTGCTCCTCTGTACATTCAGTTCCAAACAGATTTTTCTCTCCATATTCCCTGAAGCAGTGAGAATATACCCAAGAAGGTGAATGAGAGAGCAAGATTAACCCATTTCACCACCTACAAACCTCACTGAGAAAAACTGTGGTCCAAACAGTGAAGAATATTTAAAAAAACCCCTCCTTCTGGCACTTAGTCACCTCTGATTCCATTCATTCTATCTTATCTTTAATGGGTGGAGAAAGAGAACACASCAAGGTTTATAGCTTAGATGCACTGAAATCAAACCCCGCGATTAAATGACCTCATCGGGTGTGGATCACGGCRCAGCAGCATCCCACACTGGGCAGGGTGAGCCCTTTGCCCTTTTGGTGAGAACCAAGCGTGCTGATTAGTTGGAGAAAACATTCAGCAGATGGGCCCTTCTTAATCTCGTGCTACGCGCTCAAGCACAGCCAGATAACAGCATTGCTGTGTAGATTTGGCAAAGTAGTCTCTCAGAAGCAGAAACAAAAAGCCTTTCTTTGAGGTGCCGTGGCTTTTCCCAGTGTTTTTTTCCCCCAGTTTTTTTCCCGTGTTGCTTCTTTAGGCTGTCAGATGCGTGTCCCCTCTCCCCACACTTTTTGGAGATTTTGGAATGGTTAAAATGCATGCTGTGAGCACGGTGGCTCTCAGGTAAAACAGAGAACACAGAGTAAAGAGCATTTAAAGCACCAGGTAAAACAGAGAATACACTTTGCAGAGTAATGAGCATTTACAGCACCAGGTAAAACAGAGAACACACTTTGCAGAGTAATGAGCATTTAAAACACCGTGTCTGATGGTTTAACCCCTGAAAGCAGATTATCAGCTTCTCAGTGCATGCACTGCATGGCTTTGAAACACCAGCGGCACGAAACGGTTTTGTTCTTTGCTTCTTATTCTTTGCTTCTTTATTGACATGAGACAAATAAACGTTTCCATTGTTGGCAGCRTCGGTAATGAAGGCATCAGTGCTGAAGAGCTTTCCAAACCCAACTCCAGCACGGTGCCTGCAGAGGGGACAGGACACAGCACTGCCCTGCACGAGCCAGGAGGACAAACAGACTCTGRGTTCTTAAAAAACTCTGCTGAAGTGAGGGAGAGGAGCCTGCCCATCTCTGTGCCTCTCTCCAAGGAACATGGCACAGGCAGCAGTGACAAATCACACCCCTCAGACTGCAGCACAGCACCAGCTCCAKGGAATGGCACACAAGAGGGGTCAGCACATGCAAAATCTGTGGAAAATATCACTGCCCACTCTACCAAAACCAGCGAGAACGAGCCCAAAATGCCCTGCCTGGAGCCCAGCCCTGCAGCAACCATCCCAGAAATGCCAGGAGCCACACAAATGGGTTTGAGTGCATTARGATCACTCCAGCAGGACGAGCAGCTGGGTGGCATGAGGGAGCCACATGTCAGCTCGATTCCCCGGGGTGAAGCAGCAGGAGATTATTTTACTGCTCAGGAGGCCGGGCAGGAGCGAGGAGTTTTGGAAGTAGGTCAGCTGCAGGCAGTAATGMAGCAAGGTAGACAGAACACAGATGGTGGAGAGGGTCTGCTAATGAAAAAGGAAACCTTAATCCCAAATTATCCAGCAACAGGAGGCTCAGACAGTGAAAAATTTGGAGCAATTGTGAATGCTCAGGGTTTCAGTGGGATCTGTAACCTACAGATGGGGGCTGAAACARCAGCTAAAGGGAATGAGGCAAATCCAGCTCTACCTGGAAGCAGAAGGAAGCAATCAGAACCCTGTACTTTAATGTCAGAGTTGCCTTCTAGCCCTCCAAATTTCTTCCTGGTACCAAAGCCTGAAGAGCTTTCAAGTGAGTATGTGCCTGGAAACGGCCCTCAAGATCCACCGAGGAGTGAAGCAGTGAAAACAGCTTCTGAAAAAAACAAACCCCTTTWTCAAAGAGAGCTTCAAAAGGAGGATGAGCTTATTAGTGCTGAGAATTTCAGCGTGCCTTTATCTTTTGAGAGAGAGGAAGAAGAAAAATCAGCTGTCACAACTGAAAGCCCAGAAGAAGCCAATAGCAATGAAATTATAAAAGCTGGTGATGTGTCTAGAGAAAGCACCACGCGTTCTGAAACAGAAAGCATTATCAGTCCCACCAAGGAAAATTCAGTGGTAGATAAAAGATTATTACTGGAGGAATATGCATTAAGTACTTCTGTGTGCAGATCCACTGAGCTGTATCAAAAAGAAACGGGGGCGGATGTAACAGGAGGGAAAAATGGAATCAGAACAGAGGATGCACAAATGTCAGAAACCAGTGAATTACCTGAGGGCTCGAGTGGGGCAGGAAGACAAATGTTGAGCTCTGTCAGCAGCCACCACCAGGACATGGAAAATCCCCACTTGGAACAGGACCCTGAAAAATTCAGTCTTGGTGAAAACACCTCAACAGGTGACCTGGGGGAAGAAGGTGAGGGAAGGCCTCTGAATTTAGAGTGCAACTTTAAATCATCCAAAAGTAATTCCCAGCCTTGTGGTTGTGAGCCTGATCAACAAACGAGCCAAGAGAAAGCAGCTTCCCAAGATGGTCTGGAGAACAAAATAATGGCTACCCCACAGCTGGCAAGGGAGGAATGCCCACGGAGTTCTGATTGTTTTAACACTGGGGCAGGAGGCAGAACTTCAGAGCAGTCAGGCTGTAGCAGGACTGAAAAAGTTTGTTTGGATGGTGCACACAGTTCAGTGCTCCTCCACCCTGGGAACGGTCATATTAAGCAGAGTAAGCAGGATGAATCCTGGGAAAAGAATTTTGCTGGAGAAACTGTGCTGGAACCTGAATGCAAAGCTGAGAGTCAGGAAAAGCCTGAGAGCTCCAGCAAGTCAGGAGAAAGTGCAAAAATGCCCCAATTAAAACTCKATTTCCAGGGGTTGGATGAGTTGGCAGGGACTGTGGGACAAACCAAGGAGGCCTCACAGGCTCCAGAAACCAAAGACCAGAACAGTTTAATCACTGAAGCATCTCACAGAGATCCAGAACAGGAACCTGCAGCTGCACACAGCATTGCTGGGGATGGGAATCAAAATGAAGGTACTCAGCAAGAGAAGCACCAAACTGCAGGGAAAAGGTCTGAGGAGGAGGAAGATTTGGCTCAGAAAAGTGAATGTAAATCAGATGTGCCAATGCAAGCTCAGCCGGAGCAAGAGGCTCCAGAAAGTCACAGAAAAACGCAGAAGACCCGTTCAGAACCCCCCCAGGCTGCAGCTGGCACTTCAGGGCTCACTGCTCAGCACATTCACATGGAGGAAGGGGGTGACAGCCACRTCACTGCAGAGAGCTGTCCCTCTGACAGGGACACGAGCAGCTCTGCAGAGATTCTGGAGCGCGGTATCCGAGAGCCGCAGGAAAACACAGAAAATCCAACAGCTCCTCCCCAGGTAGGGCAAACAGAGCAGCTGCTGCCTGGTGCTGGTGACAGTGGCTGGAGCTCAAATACACGACCTGAACAACACCAAAACAGCCTGGCAGCTGTCAGGGGAGCAGGTGAGCAGGAGCACAAAGGAAGGGCACAGAAACCCGGGCGGCAATTGGACCGAGATAACAACACACCACAAACACCTCTGGAGATTTCAAACAACCCTGAAAAACAATCTGTGCCAGGGCCAGCACCGCCCCAGCCTGGCTCTGACAGGCCAGAAGAACAGGACAAGGACAGCAGAGCTGAGGATGTGTGCAGCAGCAAACACGGGCAAAACCCTCCTGGTGTGAGCGTGCTTCATTTGCAAGATGGCAAGGAGCAAAACAAAACCCATCTCAAGGCAGAAGGGAAGTGCTGCGCTAAGCAAAACCCGAGCAAGCCCGAGCAGGGTGATAATTCTTTGATCTCAGCGAGGCAGCATGAAGCAGCATGTCAGAGAGACACGTTTTGTGATGAGCCTGGAAAGGATGAGCAGCCAGGCAGGGGAGAGGGTAATGCTGCTGTGAACGCTCTGCCAGGGACGCAGCATTCAGCAAGTGCCACCAACACATCACAGGCTGATACAGAAATAGCACATACTGCTGATAATTCTGAGAAAAACGATCCCCAAATACCTTGTCCAGAAACTCAAAGGAAAGCACCATTAATGGCAAAAAACTCAGAAAATATTCTGGCTGCTGATGGGGGAATCTTCCAGAAAGATGGAAATGCGGAGATAAGTTGTGAGGACAGTGCTTCTGTCACTTCTGTCACAGAAATAAGCAATATAAAGCCTGATACAAGTCCAGGAGCACAGGAATCTCCTTCATCACTACAGGCACACAGGGAAATAATTCCCACTGATAACTCACATAAATCCAGCTGCATTCAAAATGCAACAGAGCAGCCTGGTTACTGTCARGCAGATTTTACAGCCCTCTCTACCCAGCCCTCTGCACTCAGCCATTCCAGCCAGCAACCTGGAAACAACACAGACAAGAGTACTGGGGGCGAATCACTAAATTATGATCTGGAAGCTGTGGCATGTCAAAGCACATTAGACAGTAACTCCAATTTGCAGGGTCCTCAGGTGTCAGCACTCTCAGGTCCTTCATCCAGGGAAAGCACAGGCAAAACAGCAAATTCAGAAAACAGCTCTGCAGGGAATATGCGTGTGAGTGGAAAAGACTGTCCAGAGCAAAGTTTTCAGGGTGATGGAGATGGGAGTTTCACCCTGCCAGAGACTTTGAATGTAGGGCAGAGAACTGGAAACTCATCACACTTCAGTTCTGAGAAGCTGAAGAAAGAGATCACTGCAATTAAATCCAAAAAAACAAAAAGTGAGCTAAACTTCAAAGAGCAGCAAAGTGACAGTTCAGCAGAGGCTCTGTTAGCACTCCCTACTCCAGAAGGGAAGCTGCTGAGCCTTTCATCATCACAAGAAGGCTGTAATGAGGAAATTGCAACCAATATCTGTGTAGATGACAAGTACGGTGAGATCTTAGAGAAACATGGGAATTCAGAAAAAATGGAAGAGCTTTCAAAAGAGAATAATAACATAACCAGGGCAGACATCAGTATTTCCAAGCAGTCTGCAGAGAACTCTGCAAGGGAGCATGAGGCTCTGACTTGCAGCTCCCTGGACATTAGCTCCAGCATCCCAGACTTCAGAGAGCACATCAGCCAGATTTTTAAAAAAACTCTCAACAGCACACTGAGTGCTGAATTACCCCAACTTTTGTCCGAAAACCATGCAGGCTCCAAGCAGAGTGCAGTGGCCAAGGACACAGCAGAACTCTGTGGTGTGGAGAACTTTTCAGAACCAAACAGGGCAGGCACAGGAGCTCCCGAGGCCACCTCAGAATCAGAGGGGCACGAGTTGTCTTTAGCTGCCGGTACTTCCCACAAAGCTGCCCAAGGCAAATCTCTGCAAGGAGCAAACACAGCAGCAGAGCTGCCACCAGCAAATCTCCAGGAGACCGAGGCAAGCAGGCAGCCCGCTGGCTGTTTAGAAGAGTTGTTCCCCAGCTTGGATGGCGCTCCATCTGCCCAACGCGCTCCGGAAAATCCTCGCCAGCCGGGCAAACCCAGCGAGAGCGGTGAGATGGAAAGACAGGAGGGCGTGTGTGCCGGTGGCGTTGATCCTGAATCGCTAATGAGCTTAGAGATAAAGGAGCAAGGACCAGCTTCATCCCATGGGGCAGCAGCTGAGGAGTTGCCCTCGTGTTCCGACAGGCAGCAGCAGCCCGGCGGAGCTGCGAGCTCTGCGGGCGATGGAGGAGATGCTGCTGCCACGCAGGGAAATCACTTAATTACAAAACCAGCTTCCTCTGAAGGGGATCTGAGTCTTCCCAGTGAGCAGTGCCAGGATCTTAAGCCAAATGAGCAGGAGGAAAGTGAGCACGGCGATCCAGGCGTTGCCAAGAGCATCTCTGGCATGGCAGCTTCAACTCTTGTCCCCGGAGGATCTTACAGAAGTGAAAAACTGCCAGACMATTTTAATGTGTCACCTGAGGAGGRGCAGGAGGSACATGTTCACAGCAGTTTTGTGCATGACATCGGGTCTCAGAATGACATGCAGGTGATACAGGATGAAACAGTAAACGGGAAATGCTTGGAAACATCGGGAAATCCTCAAGATGCGCAGCAAGAAAAGAAAGTGACGGTGCAGGGGTTAATAGATTACTTAAAAACTGAAGTAAGCCAGGATGATTGCTTGCAAACTGACTGTAAAGTAGAAGCTGGCAGTGTGACTGAGGGAGATGTGAAAGAGAGCGGTGACACAGAGCTGAGCACGGCAAGGACAGGTAAAGGAAAAACTGGAGACATCYCCGAAACAGGTACTGCAAGGATGTTAGTCACTGCTGAGGGACACTTAGCTATAAACACCAGCAGCGAGGAGCAGGAGGCAGAGCTGTGCAAAAACCACTCTGCAGCTTTCCCTGTGATGGAGCAGGATGAGCATTCTGCATGTGCAGGTCTCGCTGCTGCTGAAAATCAGCCAAGCAGGATGAATGCAGAACACCAAAGCTCCCTCCAGGATGCCAAAGGAAAGCTATCACCGCCTGCATTAACTGAGCCTAAGAACCTTGACCTCAGTGAACTTCACGACGTGGCTGTGGCAGGATTACCCACTGAAAGGTATTTACTTTGAATTACTGCGTGAAATGCTTGGCAGGAGCYCGGGGCTGGAGAGGGGTGCAATTTTCCAGGCAGATGCCCGTTGTCCGGGCGGTTTGGGAGGGTATGTCACTTACTCTGTTCTTAACTTTATCCTAAATATATGTTGCTTCTAAATGTGCATTACGTGGGGGRAAAAAAATATTTGTGAGGACAGAGAGGTCCTAAAAGCTGAGGAGCTGAGCTCTGAGCTGTTCCATCTSCTGGGCCACATTCCTGTCCTTACCTGTGTGGGTTTGCTTCCCAGTGCTCACACCTCGTAGCCTGAAGTCAGGATACAAACAGCACTTCCTAGCCTTAAGTTAAGGAGACTTCTGCCTCAGTTCTGGTGACCCAGTTAAATGAGACCTGCAGCATTCACATGGTGGAGTGCAGTGTTTAAAAACAAGCCCATGGAGTAACCCAATTACTCACACTTCGTTGTCTGGGCCTCCCTCTTATCCTCCCTTACAATATAATTGCACTGACAGTGCCTTTGATCACCGTGTTATTCAGTGTTTCTAATGACATGGAGTTGTTTCAGATGTGAATTCTTCTGAGCTAGGACTTGTGGAGTCTCAGAGTTGCTTTTTTGGTTTTATTTCTTTTTATTTCCCAAATCTAGCAGTAATTGCTTTAATAAAGTTAAGTTGGTGGGGTGTTTTTTTTTTTTTTTTTTTTTTTTTTTTTTTTTTTTTTTTTTTTTTTTTTTTTTTTTTTTTTTTTTTTTTTTTTAGCTTTTACTTTGCATTTTTTATTTTTAATTTTGATTTTGATTTGGGATTTACCTGTCGTAGCTCTCCCCTCCAATCCCCCTGAGCACCACGGACTGAGCGAAGCAGCGGCGATGGCTCCGTTCCCCTCCCGCGGGGCAGAGCCGCTCCCAGGGCGGGTCCTGAGGGCTCCGGGAGCTCAGAGCGGCGCTGACGGAGGAACCGCGCGGGGCCGGGAGGGGCAGAGCCGCCCACGGCGCCACCACCTGCGGGGAGAGCGTTCCGGAATGTTCCGAGACTNNNNTTTTTTTTTTTTTTTTAATGAGCTTTTACTTTGCTGTTTGAATTCCTAGTTTGATGTGCAGTTAATTCAGGATAATTATGATCTCCTTTTACTTTGCTGTTTGAATTCCTAGTTTGATGTGCAGTTAATTCAGGATAATTATGATCTCAGAACAGGTGATTTCCCTTTATCTAGTCATGTCACTGCTTGCTGTGTAACCTCAGAACTTCCTTGCACCCTGACCCTCTCCTTTCTGTATCAGAGGAGGCAGCGAGAGCTGAGACAACTGCAGAGCACAGGGCTACAGGGAAAAGCTAAACTATGAACGAATGGTCTGCAGAGATGGAATCTTCCTAAGTAATCCCAAAAACGTAAATGGCACTGACTGACTGACTGAGGAGGGAAAAGGTCCAGTGCCACATTGCTCCAAGGTTAAGGGGATAAAACCATATTGTGAGTGGAAATACCTGAAGTGYTTCTGTTGTGGTGAGAATGTGGGGAAATTCTTCCTGCTGGATTTGAGTCTGGGATGGAGGCTGAGTGTGATGGAATTGTGTGAGCAGAACGTACATTAGAAAAATATTAGAAGTGCCAAAAACCAAGGCAGCTATGTGATTTTCTCTTGAAGGATCTGTCCATAAAATGACAAGGAAATTAGACACTGCCCTTTCTCGAGGTCCTTTCCTTTTTGCTTGTCTCCCTTTACATGATGGGAAGCTTCCCAGTGGGTTTGAAATTCCCAAATTGCTGGYATGGGCTGGCTCAGGAGCCATGAGTGACTGGGCAGTGCATGTGTCTGTGCATGTGTTTCATATCAGGGCGGGTATCATACTTTTAATAAATACCTGTGGCAGGCAGGGCAGGGCTCGTGGAGCAGCTGCTGACAATTCACTGAGTAGTTGCTTAATGCTTGTGCTTCAAGAATTCATTGTCACCTGTTTTTCCAGCGTCAGGGTTTGCATCAACAGRCAGCTGCTGGGTTGGACTGTGGCTGTCCAAAAGGCTGAAACACTGGGGAATCTCAGAGGTCCAGAGGGACTCTCAGAGGTTCCAGAGGAGCCTCTGCTCTTGTCAGGCTCATTTTTAGAGCAGTATGCATTTATAACACAAAAGAGAAGCAGAGAGCGTTGGCTGAGCTGGCTGCTCTGCCTTSATCAGGTCCAACACGCTGACCAATCCAGTTTTCCTCTGAGATTCAAACTGGGTTTGTATCCTTAATTTCAAGGTGTATTCCATATGCCRTGCCCATCAGCCACAAAGCTCTGAGTGCTTTGCAGTGGTTTATTGCCCCTGACAGAGGATAAACCACTGCAGCCGTGCAAAATGAGGTGCACGTTCCTAAAAGCTGACTGTGAGGATGTGGAYCTGATGTAAAGAAAACCAGGGAGAAAGATTCCTCCCCAGCTCTCAAAATAAATATTAGTAAGAAGGAAATTATTTTTGGGAGAAGGAAATGGTTCTGAGAATCTTTTTTCTGAGAAGGTTCTGAATTATTTCAGCGTTGTTTTCTTCCCTCCCCACTCTTTCAGTGTAACTCCATCTCTTACAAGATCCCTTACACCGAAACCCCACTGAACTGTGTGAGCWGGGGCAAAGCTCTGTGATCTGACTCTTAAATCCTTGTTGGGATTTCTTCCTGTAGAGGAAATAGAGGAATTTCTTCCCTTTGTGGCTGTGCCCTGRRAGAAGGCTGGTYTTGAAATAAACCCAAGCACTGYTTTTGGTGATTCCTGCCCACACCTCCTCTAGGAGGAGAATTCTGGTCATTGATAGGGAGAGCCCTTAGGTCTGCAGGCAATGCTGCWGCACCAATCACTTCAAATGTCCAGTAAAAATGCACAGTCCTTTTTGGAAAGGAGGTTGTGGMTGAAGCCACTTCCTTGTGGAAATACAACAGTGCTATCAGCACAAGTAGGGGAGGGTAGGATTTTGGCAACCCTGTCTGTCAGCATTGAAAAGGAGTAAAAAAAAAAACAAAAAAAAACTTTTATAATGGTTTTGATGTTTTTAACTCCCTTTACCAGGCCAGTAACTGAAAACCTGTGTTCCTAATGGCCACATCTAGGCTTCAAAATCACATTCTTCCTACTTGTTATTGGGCATCCATTTGCTTCATTTTCTGCTTTTTTCTCCTTTTGCAATAGATACCCACCCATCTGTGATGTAACCCACATATCTTCTTTCTTTCATTAAGAATGGAGGTTCCTTTATAGACAGGGAGTCCTTAYRTCCCTGAAATGCTCCYSTTTGCATCATGGACTGTGACAGATRTTGAGCAGAGGATGGAAAAAAWAWTGGAAATTAGGCAGAATTTTAGGGATGTTTAGAGGTGAGATGGATTTTTTTATAAGCTGTTGAAATTCAACTGGCTGGCGCGTGCAAGCTGCCATTATCTCTTGGAAAAAAAAATCAAAAAAACTGAGGGAGCTTTTTGAAGTGGAGGCTGTGAAGTCATTCCCAGATGTGCATTTGAAAGGTGTGCAGCACACACTGCACGTGTTGGCTGATCTGATGGTTTGGGTGTGTTCAGAGGCCTTTGGGTGATGCAGGCTGGCAGAGATGCTCTCAGGGGCTCAGCTGGGCTGGGTGTGCAGCCAGGGAGGAGCACAGGGAGCTGCAAATATGGTAACCCCTGCTCTTGGAGAATGAAGAGTTCTGCTGCACTGACTCCATCACTTATTAAATATTCTCACATGGGAAAAGTACCTGGCAGCAGCTGGAGTCAGCCAAGCTGCTTGAAAAACATTCCTGATGTCCTCTGCAAAGGTCAGAGAAGATTTCTGAAGTTGGTCCAGACATACTTTTGGATTTGCTTCATTTCTTTGTTCTTGCCATCAAAAATTGGCAAGTTCGATAACTCCAAAAAAGAACATTCACTCTTCAGTACATATGTTTTGGTCTTTTTTTGTCTGCTTGACAAATACAGCATTAAATATTTTAACAGCCTTGCTGGATGAGGTGGGGAGTGTAGAACTGCTTTTCAGATCAGGCAAGTGGGGTTTGAGCACTTAGGCTTTGTGTTGTTAGCATCTGAAAACAAGAGTTTGGAGTTAAAAGGAAACTTGTCAAAACACTGATTATGCAGCTCTTTATTTCCCACTTTTTTAACTTCACAACTGATTCAGGTGTGTAGCATTCCAGGATTACAAAGCAAAGGGAATAATAGCTGGAGGTGATTTGCACWTAAAGGAAATGCACAAATTAATTGAGTTATTTGTCTCTCCTGCCCKTCTTCCTTTGTATCTGAATTATTTCTCTTTATTTTTCTCCTATTTTATTGTCTCTGTTATCCTGTGCAGCTGTCAGTACAGTTGTGCCTTTGCAGCTCAGCCTGCAGWCCTGAACTAAATTAACAGGATGGGCAGTTCTGTGGGAATTTCATCTGTGTGAAGCCTGAAAGATTTAATTTCGGTATTTTTCCATTCACAGAAGAGTAAAATTAAAATAACTTCGTTCTCACCCAACAGACATCTCCCATTGCTTTCTAGGAAGTGAAAGGGAGTTTTGCCAACTATTTCCATGGATTCCATTGACTGAACTGACCTCTGGTTTAGGCAGCATCTAAGTATTTATGCAATTTGTAAAGTATAAAATGCTGATTGGATATAATGCCCTGTTGTGTTCAAAACACAATTCCAGTGAAAAACCAGGTGTGTGAGGCCGTGGCACACATTAATAAAGTAGGTGTTGGCATAGATGGGTGATACCTGAGCTGCTCTTTTCACACATCCTTCTGTCTTTCTCAAGACATTACATTTATTTAATCAAATACAGGCATTTGCTAAGGAAATCCAACATGGACATTGCCATACTTTGCCTGGACAGGAAGTTTAACATCATTTCTTTTCTTCTTTTCTCATTAAATTAAAAATAACTCTCAGATTACTTYTGAATTTTCTAACTATATTTCCCCAGATGTATTTTTCAACCTCGCTTCTTCCAAGTAATCTTGCTGTTTTCTCAAAATCATTCCTGCATGTCCTACA